GGAGGGAGATCGTGGTGAATGCAAGGACAACCGGGGTTAAATAAGGAGGTCCAGGCCCCAGCGGGGGGTCAAAAGGACACGTATTTAAAAAAGAAAAAAAAAAAAAAAAAAAAAAAAAAGTGAAAATAATGAAGTAAATTTGAGAGAATGTTTAGCAGGTTTTGCTTTTAATTTGATATTCCTGAAAAAGTATATTTGTAACTAATAGCTTACCTCTTATTAAAATCTAGCAAATATCGAGTTATATATGATATAGTCACACTTAATAAAAGGGAGTTCATGAGATGATGCCATATAAATTTATCATTAATACGGCATTTCCTTGGACCCAAAAGAAGCGTTGTATTGGAGCAATTTAGAAGGAGTGCAGTGGAAGACAAACTGGAAACTCTTGATGGCAAAGAAAACTGGTTTCTATTGATTTGTCTTTGTGAAGTAAAACTATGAATCAAGCCCTGGGTTTCTTTTTCTTTTTCTTTCTTTCTTTCTTTCTTTCTTTCTTTCTTTCTTTCTTTCTTTCTTTCTTTCTCTCTCTCTCTCTCTCTCTTTCTTTTTTTTTAAACAGGATGAGACTTCATCACTCAAGTTTGAAATAAGAGCAACAGCTTTTCCAGAGCCACATCCAAAAGTTATTGAATTAAACAAGGATGAGAACATTGCACATGTAAGATTTGCCCTTTTGAGATTCTGCATGAAAATTACATGGAAAATAATTTTGAGGATTTCCTATTTCCCTTTTGGTATCTGAGTAAGGAAGTTAATGTGTGTCCAAGTGACAGAGGACTTTGAACTCTTCATCCAGAGGTGACATTTTCCACAGCAGAAGGGAGGAAACTACACAGAGAGCTCTTTAGAGAAATGATTTAGTAGCAGTGAGAATGGGACAGATCAGAGGAAAAGCCATGAATAAAGCCCATTGCACTCACGTGTCGGATAAACAAGTGCCAAACTTCCTATGCCTGTGACAGGGGAGAGGATGGATTGGGCCAGTAGTTCTAGCCATCAGAGGAGCCTGGGGACAAAAGAAATGTCAACGAGTTTCAGAATTCATGCTACTTTTGCTTAACCCATACAGGTTCTACTGGAAGGAATACATCACCAAAGACCTAAACCTCATTTCACTATTGTGATTATTTCAAGTAGCTTGCTACTTGGACTTATTGTACTTTTACTAATTTCATGTGTTATGTGGAAGGTAAGCCATTCATAATTACCAGTATTAAACTACTCAGAATGCTTTCATTTTTCTTGAAGCCAATTAATTGAAGTGTTTAGTATTTCACTGTTAATTTTTTTTAATTATTTAATGACCACATGATTAGAAGCATTTCATTACAGCAATAACATATTCAATAACAATTTCCAGAGCAAAGATGCTTCTCTTTCAAAATTAGCTGTAAATTTTGAGGTTCACAGTTAAATAATACAGTTATACAATATTGAACTCAGTATAACCCTTATAAGACATAAAATTGAATGAGGTTTTAACCCTCGAAAAAGATATCCATTTCATTCTAAAATATACTGTTTCTTTCAGAAAGACTCATTGTTTTTGCCACTAACACTGAGATGTTGGTGCATGCATCTCTAATCTGTGTGTAT